TGGAATATTATTAATCTCCCCTTATCAGGCTACTGTCGAGTATGAACTTCGGGTGAAGTTTCGCACAACCAATAATGCGTCAAATATGAATGCCATCTTCGTCGGGTTGATGTTTGTTATAGATTAAGAAGTGGAAAATGTGATCATTCATACTGATTTGTAACTCATAGTTTTTGAAGTAGGAATAGAGTTTGATGTCCATAATATATAATTAGCATAATATTATGATATGGTGAAGTCACTTCTCACCCATATAAAAAAGTATGACATCATTCATATACTTTGAGAACAAAATAATTGTGCAAACACACTCTCAAAAATTGCTACATTAATTTCCAGTGATTTTTTTAAAAGAAAATATATTGATGAAATCTAGTTTCCAAACATTGAAGGACCATGCGTTATATAATCAATCCATAAGTTAAGAGAATCTTCTTGGATCGTTCCTATATTACCTTTTTTTCAAGGAGTATTACTCGAAGATCTAATAGTAGCAATACGACTCTGAAGGTAGGCAACAAACTTCATTGTTATTGGTGTATAATTATATAAATAAGATTTTACTAAAGCATACTTCAAATGACTTCTAGCTATAAAAGCTGATTATGCACTACGAGAAGTTCAATCTAGCATATGTGAGGAACATTTGGGAGGAAGAGTATTAGCACAAAAAATCCTAAGATAGGGATTTTACTGGCCCACTATGAAGAAAGAAGCATTATAATTCACACAAAGATACAAAAACTATCAATTGCACTCTACTCTCGCCCATTTTCCTGCCACTAAACTTTCATCATTCTAAAGCCCATTGCTTTTCGTCCAATAGGGGATTGATATCCTATAGCTAGTAAATAAAAAAATTTTATCATCTTGGATGCGGATTACTTTACCAAGTGGGTAGAGGCTGAACCCTTGGAAAAAATTACAGAGAAAAATGCAAAACAATTCATATGAAAAAAATATCATTTATCGTTTTGGCATTCTTGCAAAAATTATTACTAATAATGGAACCTAATTCACAAAGGAGATCTTCACGGTATTTTGAAAGGACCTCCACATACAAATGGTGCACACATTTATAGCTCATCCTAAAAAAAAAAGGATAGATAGAGGTTACAAACCAAACTATACTTAAGGGGCTGAAGACACATCTTGGAAAGGCCAGGGGCAGTGGGCTGATGAACTTCCAAATATCCTTTGGGCTTACTGCACTACTACAAGAACTCCAATAGGAGAATCTCCATATAACTTTTTTTTGGTAAAGAAGCAATCATCTCGATCAACATTGGAATTTTGAACCTTAAAGTGTAAACTTTTGACTTCAGCAATAATGAATAAAAACTCTAAAATACTTTAGATTTTCATCCAAAAATAAGAGACAAAGTGTCACTTAAAATTATTGTGTATCATCAAAGAATAGCTCACAAGTACAATCAAAAGGTGAAGCTCTAATGCATCTTAGTCAAAGATCTAGTTCTGCGTAGTCTTAAAGCAACTCGAAAGGGCCCCCAACGTAATAAATTTTCACCATTATGGGAAGGCCCTTATATGGTGGCAGCAATTGTCAGACCTGGAACATTCAAGTTAATGGATGTTTATGAAAGATTCAACCTTAAACTTAAGGTATTTAAAACCTTCGCAAGTATTATTAGTAGTAAATATTAAAATTGCTTATCTTACAGTATATATGCTTATTGTTATGTAGCCCTCATATTTCTAAATAATGTCATGAAGTCATTGTATTATTTTCTCTAATATAGTAAGACTTCATTTAACAAATATCATTATTTTCTTTTCTAAACAAGATAATAATGATGATGCTAAATAAAATATAAAATGGAAAATATAATGTTGATTCTAGAAATACACAATGTTTATTATATCTTAATCAACAGATGATCTATCCTAAAGAGATTCGATCCAACCCTTCCCACATAGGTTAATATCATCAAGCAATGATTGATAATAAAACCTTGGAGGTTAAGCTTCCTAAGTGGATGTCTCTCAATTCTATAAAACTAGTTAACTTCATAAAAAGTTTTATACCACCAATTTAAATGAATATTAACAAGTCTCTATAAATCTTTAATACTTCAAACAATTTTATTCAATTTCTAAGAAAATACATTTCTTTTGATAAAACAAATACATAAAATTCTTTAAGGAGAATAAAAGCAAAGCAACCAATAATAAAAATACTACCCAATCTCAACATCATCATCATTATTGGAAAATACCTTTTTCAATTCACTTTTAGTTTCAACATCGCCTAAATCAGCATGAGAATCCTCAGATTCACGGCTAGGTGTTAGATCTTCAACATCAACTCCAATCTTATGATGTACAAGTTGAATTACTTTAAAATCCATGAGTAAGGCCTTCTTCAAGACTTTGGTGCTCTAAATCCTACACTTTGTCATCAAAAAAATTTTTCATAAGCTTCTTGAACAAGATTTTGGATCTCTAGACGATAAGTTGAAGATTTCTTGAATTCTTCTAGATCCTTTAATGATATAGCTTCAATATATAAAATGGTTGTCTCTCTCCTCTAAAGAAAATCTTGTAACTTTGTATTCTCCTTCTAAAGACATTCTTCTCTAATGCAAGCATTTTGAAAGCTTCTTTTTTGTTGGTTGATCTCTGCACGAGCCTCAATCAACTTCTGGAGGGAAGGGATAGCTTCCCAATTTTGAAAAGAGAAAAACGTGGATATTGTCACCAACAAAGCTCAGCATTCTATTAATTGACTCTCCCTGGTGTCTCTTTAGTTTTCACTTCCTACCTTCACTTGTATTTTCTTTATAGATACTTAACTTTTACAAATTCAACATTCTGATTATAAATTATTGATTTAAATTGGGATTCCAAATCCATATTTTGGATCATTTGTAATAAGGAATATGATTATGTTAAAAATTATGAAGAAGGGATATGATTATGTTTGTCCACTGGTCGTTATTGGACTTTCGTCCACTACCCGACCACTGTTGGATCTCTTCCTAACCATCGACCGCAATTGGACTTCTGTCAGTTCGTCGACCACTGTCAGATTTCTTCCCAAGCATCGACCATCGTTGAACTTCCATCTTGCGGCTTTCATTAGATTTCATCCGAGTTTAAGGATATCCATATGAAGTTTGGCAATATCTTCAACACATTGTATTTAAATTATCCTTGAGTTAAGGGATTGTTGGACTAATGTAATCTACTTAAATATTAGTGAAATCATTTCAACTAGGCAAGGTCCCTTAGTTTTTCCCCTTATTTAGATTTTTTCAAATAAAATTCTTGGTATTTCTTTATATTTCAATTATTTATTTGTATGCTGAATTTTCATACATCGCTAAGACATAAAATCTTCAACTCTATCTACACAAATTTCTCAACCCGAAATAATTTCTTTTATTATTTTTTAAAAATTTGTATCTTTAAAAGTATTTTTACTAAAGCTTTATTTGAATAGCTTTCTTATTTCTTCATTAAGCTTTTTTTTAGTACAAAAGTTTCTAGTTAAAAAAAAATTTATATTCCTCTTTAGAAAGAGGTAAGAAAGCTATCTCAAAGGAAACCTAAGTGTGTCTGGCATAAGAAATTTGATTCAGGTTGATTTTAGTTGTGTGGGGTTATTTTTGACTTTGACCCTAAACTGACCCATTCATCCGAATTGACACCCATAATCTTGACACTATTTTTCACAATTAAAGAAAAAAGAAAAAAATTGTGTGCGGATTTCTTGATCGAAATCTACTTATGATATATATACTTGTGATTGGATAACCTTAGAGGTATAAATGAGTCGAGTATCTCATTAATCAAGCTGAGCTTATTTAGTCTTTTTTGTGCTCGAACCAGACTCATTAAAAAAATATAGGCATGGTCTTAGCTAGATTGCTCGAGCGTTTTTAGAAAGCTCGAGCTTGGCTCTGTCATGGAGATCGATTTCATAATTTTTAAATTATAAGTTTGTTTTTTTTTAAATAATTTTTACTTTCAATATCCAAACCTGATGTAAGTATATAAAAATAATTTAAAATATTAAAATATATTATATAATACTAATTAAAAGTTAATATTCAAATATAGTTTAATTTAATTGAGCAGCTGGATGAGCTTACGAGCGGAGCTAGAATGAGCACAAATATAGGATTGAGTTTAAACCTGTGATTCAATATGCGCAACTCCTGAGCTCGTTAATGAGTCAAGTTCGAACTACCTCACAAGCTGACTCCACTAACTTCTAAGTTGAGATCAATGTAAACTTTGAATATTATATATAATATTAATCTTGTGGCAGATTCAATGATAGTGAAATCTCATAATTAAAATTTTATCAGGAAGTTTTGAGTTTGTTTTATAATAAATATACAAATTATGTTACATAAAATTCTCCGATCTTTAAAGTATTCCCGTTTGATTATTCAAAGTTTTTAAATACTAATAAATGCGTTATACAAAAGTGCTTTTCTGCCAACTGCAGCATTAACTGTTGAAAAAGAAATCTATGGATTCCAAAATCCTTAGGTTTCCTTTGGGATGAGTTTTGCTTCTTAAAACTAATTTTTATTTTAAGAAGGAATAAAAAAACCGTCGCAATCTTATAATCTTATTTGATATACCATATCAGAGTTAAAAAAAAAGTGAAAATTACTTGAGAAGCAGATGCAACCTTTTCCACCTTCAATTTCCCATCCCTACTTTTTTAGCAGGTTAGGGTTAGAGTTCTTCTACGTTGTTTGATCATTCAATCACATAGAGTAATTTGCATTGGTGGCGATTTCAATGGAGTATGAGAGCTAAAGAAGTTGTCTTCTTTAAGAAGTACAAGAACTCATGATAACAGGAGAAGAGACAGTAAATGAAAATGTATTATTCAGCCTCGCATAATGAGCCTAGGTACATCCTATATATAGATACAAGAAATGTAAACAGACCAATATACAAGTTACACGTGTACAGCCTATCTTTATTAACAGATTTATATATATGTTCTATTAAGAGCAAATCTCTTTGAGAAAGAAAATAAAAAAAATAAATAAATTGTTGTTTTCGTTGTCGCCAAAGCTGGAATATTTCATGGCAATATACGTGTAGGTCAAAGCTGTGGCCTATAAAATGATTGTTATTTTGGATGAGAGTGTGAAGGTGGAGTTTCTACATCAGAAAGGTTACAAGCTGTAACTCAGAGCATTCGTGCAGTGCAGAGAATATCTGCAGAGAACGCTGTTAATGGAGATTGAAGGAATTAGAGAGCAATATGTGGGCGGTAATTAGAATCTCTGCTACATGTCTTTATTTATAATTTGTAGTTTTCTTCTTCTTTCTTTTCGATTTGGATACTTCCTTTATTGTTTTAGTATGATTTTCTTATTAAATAGTTTCTCTATGTTCTTTCTACTGCGATATTGATGCATACTTTTTTCTTGTTTTTTTTTTCTGAAACTTTCTCACTTGGGCCTAATAGAAGGGGAACTGTTAACCTTCAGTTGGGAATCAAATTGGGCAAGATGTTTCTTTATCAGGATTAATTATTGTTTTTGAATTAATATAAAGTTCATTAAATTTTATATCATACTTGTTTCAAAACTAATTTAAAATTTTTAAAATTTGATCAAAATTTTATCAGAATATATATATATATTTTTTGTTAAATTCCATTTATCAGATTGAAAAAAATGGGTAAAAGGACAAGCATCTTACTTATTTTATTCTCCTAAGCTTTGGTTACATCAATCGTTGACCTATAATGTCGAAAAGAATCATTTCATATTTGCTTGTACTTATTATATATAAATATTTATTATTTCTCATTCCCCCAAAAACAAACGCATGAAAGTCTTCCAGCATAGAATAAAAAATTAGTAGATTAAAAGATTTATAATCAACCGAAAGTACATTCTGACCAATAAAAAAGTTCTTATAGATTAAGACAAAAAATTTGTAAAATGCTGTGAGCCTTGATCCTCCCCTGGTAGAGGAAAATTTTTAAACAATTTTAAATTAATTCAAAAACAATAATTTAGTCAGATTTCATCAATTTCAGGGCTGAGGAGCCTGAAAATAATGAAATCTGAAAAAGGAATTACCTTTTTATATCAACAAGTATGTTCGTGGGTGGGTTTTAACATAAATAAATAAATTATTATTTTAAAATTTCTGTCATTTAGCCTTGTTGTCAGAATAATATTGTTTGATTTTATATTGAATGTCTTTTTATTCAAAGAGTTTTCATTTGATGCAGAAGAGATTAATGATAGCCCAATAGAGGAAGTCAGACTTACTGTACCTATAACGGATGATCCAACATTACCAACAATGACTTTCCGAACATGGCTTCTGGGGACAATAGCTTGTGCCCTTCTTGCATTCATGAACCAGTTTTTTGGATACCGTAATAATCAGCTCTCGATATCTGCTATTTCAGCTCAGATTGTTGTTCTTCCACTAGGCAAGTTATTGGCATCAACACTCCCTTCAAAGTTAATAACTATTCCAGGCACAAACTTAAGCTTCTCTTTGAATCCTGGGCCTTTCAACATCAAAGAACATGTTTTAATCACAATCTTCGCCAACTGCGGCGCAAACTCAGTTTATGCAGTGAATATAGTTACAATTGTTAAGGCCTTCTATCATAAGAGTTTGCATCCACTCGCAGCTTATTTGCTAGTTCAGACCACACAGGTAATTTAAAAGTCTGTGCTGCTGATTAAATTGTGTTTTAAATTTGATGGAATTTGTTATATTTACAAGAAAATCTTATTCATGAATTATTTTGAAAATTTCTCATAAAGTTGTGTGTTTTGCGGGCATTCATCCCACATCCAAACCGATGTTCATCCGGCATCCGACCTTTTGTTTTCCCACGACCGAGGTTCGATTGCGATCCCGACATTCATCCCACATCCAAACGTGTTGTTCCCGTCTTCCGGCATGCAATATGTCTTCTGATGCAATCCATCATCCCCCATCATTCCGCTTTTGGCGAGCCGCTCGAGTAATCGAGTTGAGCGAAGGGTTGTTCGAGCTTGAGCTCAATATGGCCATCGAGCTTGAAATCTTGTTAGATTTCACATTCAGCTCAAGAGGTTGATAAGCTCGACTCATCGAGCCCGTTAGCGAGTTGATCCCAAGCCGGCTAGTGAGGCGGCTTGACTCGGTTGCATCCCTACATATGATTATCAAACTTGTTGAGAATAATAGCAACTTTCCTAAGTAACAGGAAGCAATATAAGGCCGAATTTTTCTTTAAATTAAGCTTACCATTGCTATTAAATATGATCTGTAGCTTGTTGGGACAGTTGTTCCATCCACAATATACTTCGGCACGGCATGGTGGCTCCTTGATTCAGTGGAGAATATCTGTGACCCCAATAAACTACCTGAAGGAAGCCCATGGACATGCCTTGGTGATGATGTTTTCTATAACGCATCCATCATATGGGGCGTGGTGGCTCCTCTCAGAATGTTTGGTCGTCTCGGCCACTACAAAAAGATGAACTATTTTTTCCTCATCAGATTTCTCGCTCCAATTCCAGTTTGGGCTCTATCGCGCATTTATCCAGAGAAGAAATGGATCAAGCTCATCAACATGCCTATAATCCCTGGTTCAACAGGAATGATGCCTCCGGCAAGGGCTGTGAACTACTTGATGTGGGGTCTTGTTGGCGTTGTGTTCAACATCCATGTGTTCAGAAAATACAAGGCTTGGTGGGGAAGAAACAATTATGTTCTTTCAGCTGGACTTGATGCTGGAGTTGCATTTATGGGCATCATAATCTATTTTGCTCTGCAAGATAAGAACATCTATGGAGCAAACTGGTGGGGATTGGAGCCAGATCACTGCCCCTTAGCTAAATGCCCAACTGCTCCAGGCGTCAAAGTTGAAGGCTGCCCCTCATTTTGAGGAGAAATTATTATGTTCGGATATCTAACAGAGAGATACATCCAGATTTTTCTCTATCTACAGTCATAGTATAGTTACTGTAGCTTTGACTATGCTTTTACAGTAGACAGAGAGAAATCCTTTATGAATATTTTAAATATATATATATATATATATATATAATTAAGAGATTATTTTGATTTTCAAGTTATATTTTACCTGTAATGATGATATAGTCAGTATGTACTTTGCTTGATTTTAGGAGTGACCTTTTGGTTTTCTTTCTGCAGTATGTCCGTTTGATTTAGAATAAAATATTTTGGATTGCAAATATTTGTTTCTGTCTTAGATATTTTATCATGTTGTTATAATTTGTTTTCTGTCCTAATTAAAGGCTATTAAAAAAAATGTTGTTATAATTTACTGTTTTAGAAAGCATAAAATTATTATTTTTTAAATTAAACCCTTAAAGATATTATAATTTAAATTAAAAGATTGGAATGTTGTTAATAAATCATTGAAATTTATTTATCAAGAAATATCCTTACGTTTTATTTATTTATTATTACTTATTTCATATTGAATCTATTTTATATAGTTTCTCAAAAGTATTAAAATTATGTGGGCCTAAAAAAACATCTTTAGCCTTCCTAGTTTAAGATTTAATTTTGATTGTGATTTTAATTATATTTATTTGATTATAAAATATTAAAAAAAAGTACGAATTTTTTAAAAGAGCTTAGGAAATATTTATTTCATAAAAAATAGAAAAGAGCTAGTTATCCTCTCATCACGCAGCTAGCTCTTATCCTTTTATGAGGTGTTTTTATAAATGCATCAAATTATTTGGTGCACTCTAAATGCCCCAAATTGGGACGTGCGAGACAGCTCAGTGGTTGAGCTTAGGTAATGCTTCTCGTCAGATCCTGTTCGATCCCTAAAGGAACCCAAAAAAAAGGCCTCAAATCATTTGAGGCTTTTAGCTTGAGAGAGAGATGAGAGAGGCAGGGGGAGAGAGAGTGAATTGGGAGCGAGATGGAAAATAGAAAGAGAAACATGAGGAGAGAGAGAAACAGGAAGAGAGAGCGACCAGAAGTTTTTAACTCTTATTAAAATAAATTTTTATACAATATTAAATATATATTAATTAGTTAAATTTTGTTTTAAATATAATTAATTTAATTTATTAAATAATTTATTACAATTTTTTAATTTAAATAAATAATTATACATAAATTTATTTTAATTTAAATTTTTATTAAATTAATTTAGACGAGGGAATTGACGTACATGTGAAAATAAAGTTGGAAGTATATTTGATAGTACAACAATTATGTTAAGAAATTTAAGTTTTTAATTTAGATAGGATATAATTTCATTCGATTTTCCAAAGGTTTAATGACTCGGTTCTTGATCAAGTACTATCTGCAAAATAAATTAAAATCTTAATTTTATTGAAATCCCTTTAAGAATTAAAAGTTTACATATATGCCACTGAATTTTTATATATTTAGATATTTACTTTCTGAACATTAATATTTATTAATAAAATTTTTTAATCTATTAACTATATTAAAAATATCATTGAAATTAAGATATTTAAAAAATCCTTTATGTGATTTATACACAAAGATATTAAATGAATAAATAAATAAAATGTAGATATTAGATAAATAAATAAATAAAAATTTTGTATATATATAATGCATTAACTTTATGAATTCTGTAATAAAATAATTTTAATTAAAAGTAATTAAAATACTAATTTTTTGGTGAATAATTTGAGCTTCATTTACAACTCATTATAGATTGCTATAATACATGTTAAATATATAAATTACTTATTGTTATTTAGTTTGGTTGGTGGGCGAGTGCGGTTGGGAACTCCCCAACCCGTACTCGATTCACTTTGGTAGCTTCTCTTAAATCAAGTGCGGGTCAGGAGATTTCTGGGATGAGTGCCTCTTCTAGATCAACTGAGAATTAGTCACGAACTCATAAAAAAAACACCTCATAAAAGGGTAATATATATCTATTATCTTACATACAGAAAAAAATTATATATTAATTTTTTTTAAAAAATTACATCTCTCTCCCTCTCCCTGACTCTCTCTTCCCATTTCTCTCTTTCTCTCTCTATCACATCTCTCTATAGCATCTTTCTCTCAAGCTGAGTGTGTCAAATCAATTAGAGCATTCAGAATGTATCAAATTATTTGGCCCATTTGGAATGCGTCAAACATTTTTATTATTCTGCTCATTTTTAAATTATTTTTCGATTACACTCCTTATACTAATATAAATTTTAGACCTGCTCCAATTTAAAATTTCGCTCATTTTAAATTAATCCCTGATTACGTTCTTTGTATTAATTTAAACTTTAAACATCTTCCAATTTAAATTTCATTTTTAGCTGAGCTCACATTGTAATAAATAAAAAAATGATTAAATAAATGATTTTGAGAAGTGTGGTGGCCTGGTGACGGTGCATTATCATTAAGAATGAGACATAAGAAGTTTTGAGAGAGTATGAGTTTTGCTGGTGGCGCTATGGCGTTGGGTAATATAGTGATGCAGTGTAAGAAAGAATTAGTGCTTTTTAAAATAAAAAATACCTCATTCATAAAACACAACCCCAAATGCACCAACCAACTTGCAAAGGAAGAAAGGAGAGGATAGGAAGGAAAAAAAGAAAAAAAAAAGGATTTGGAGTCCGAAATTCAATTTTCGCCCGTCAGGCCAATTAGAAAAATTGTTGGGTTCAACCAAAGCAAACCATACCCTATTTTTCATTGAAATTCTAATGTATATAATAAAAGATATACTTTTAAAAGTATTTTTCTTAAGTTTTAAAAGAGTTTTATCTTGTAACTTTTTATATGTTACTTTACTGTGTTATGGATAATTTGATCATAATAATGCAAAATTTCATCGACAAGTTTATTATGTATGCATTTTTATTTATTCTGAAAAATAGAATCCTTTTTTAACTGCAATACAATTGATAAAATATGTTAATTTAATATTTTACTCAATCTTTGTGAATTTGATAAATTTCTAAGCACTTTGAGTTGGAAGTAAAAATGTTAAGGTTTTCTATATATACAAGTTGGTATATTATACTATTTACTTTAAAATACCTTAATTTCACAATGCATTTGAGTTATCATGCCTTTCATGATATTCTAGATTTTTTGAATTGAAATGAAATGCATTTGCTTAGAACAAAATAATCCAATACAAAAGATGGAAATCTTTTGTATTGGATTATTCTATTCTAGTTCCGAATTTGTTCTATTGTGAAAGTTCTATTATGTTGTATTTTGATTTTGCTCTCTATGGGCTCCAAAAATTTGCGCCCGGTCCTCTCTACGGTCCCTTTCATTCTTCTTCGGGTTGTCGATGAAGTTTTAACGAGTAAGTTCTGAGGTAAATTTTTAGTAAGTAGATTGGGTTTTTAAGTAAGATTCTACCTAGAGATTTTGCCCTAATTTTGGAAGGACTTTATGATATGAGTTCAAGTTTCCTATAGGGGTAAGCCCCGATAGTTAATAATCCCTTCCAATAGAGAGATAGAACTTTCGATTAATGCTAGTAGTATAAAAAGATACTAAGTATGTGGTGTATAGTAGCAGCCTGATTTAGGTATTTAAAATTAAAATTTTACTACCTTATATTTAAAGAAGATGGTGGGGGAGTGATGATAAACCCGATAAGGATCCCAAGGTTCCGTCATCTCGGGTCATCATGATATCTGATCCATTTGGAGGCAAAACCACCTACTTAGAACTTAGAAGGTCCCGACCATTACAGTTTACTTGTCATTCCATTTGGTAGTAAAACCTTTGGTTAGAGGATACATGTCACATCCTTGCTAGCAAAAGACAAGTTGAGAATGAATCTTCATATTCTTGACAAGATATTAGCTCTTTGTGAGCTGTAGTGATTTTTAAATTTATCCACCTCAACAAATTATTAGGGAGTGTGGATGTGTATTTTTCTATAATTGTATTGATGTTTTATTTCAATTTTAAATGTTTATATTATTGAATATATTTATGGAAATTTAGTGGCATTTTAAATATTTGGGGTCCCATTCTGTTTAAATTTTTGTCAGTACGACCATCATCAGGGTTTTCATGAAAAATTTTATTTTATTGTTTGAACCTTATTAACTCTGTCTACTTGCCGATAAAGGATTGGATTTGTTATTTGTTTTATACCCGGATTAGTATTTTTTTTTGTAATAGGATATAATGGCATAATATTAACATATAAAATAAATATCCCAATTGACACTACAACTGTATATTCATTTGTTGGTTCGAACCTACTCGACTCCTATATAATCATATAGAAGGATCAGACTCAAGTTTAAGTTCATTTATTAACCAACACAACATCCTTAGATGTCATATGTGTACTTTTGACATGCTTGTTGGGACCCATGCAGCTATCTAATTACATATGTTTTGTATGATGCACTTATGTGATGGTCACACATATGCATTGGATGCTTGCAACAAAATTGCATATTATGCATTTATGTGAGACATATGTATATTGGTTTATGAATGAATTTAAATGTTGTGACATGTTTGAGTGACATTCTTCCTTTAGCAACTAATCCCTCTCGTAAATGAAGGTAATCCTCCTTCATTAGTATATTGTTCATATTTTCAGATTAATTAGGATATACATGGAGATTGATCATAGTTTATGGTTTTTGTGTGATGAAACCTATAATACTTTATGTGTAGAATATTGGAAATTAAAGGAGAAACATAAGATTAAGTTAAGGGGCTATTAGATTTATGCCTGATTTGAGCAAGATTTATGGCGTATTTGAAAGTTATGATGGAATAAATCGTCTGTCTCATTATTTTTGCAGTAAATCTTAGATTTACTAAATCATGTAGTTTGGCAAATTTAATATTTCAAGTTAAATCCTACATGTTGCCAAATAGCTTCTAAGCATTGTAAATATGAAGATGCTAATCTGGTGGATGAGTGGCTTTACTCTTAGAGTTTATT